GTTTTTCTCTCTGTCTCTATTTTCTCTTCACTTAAAAAGTCACTGATGATGAAGAAATAAATAAATAAACTAAATAAACTAATATTTGGTTTTGTTTTCTACTGAAGTGACACAAAAAAAACTTTTCTAATTTGGCTTTATTTTAGTTTAACAAATAATAACAAGGTGCAATGTGTGTTTTCGTACAGCTGAGGTTAAGACTTAAATCATTTTAGAACCTGGTACATTTTTATGTGCCCATTTACTAGGATTGAAAGACAGTGTACTTTATTTTTCACTTGACTATAAAAGACCATCATAAACTGAAAAAAACTGAGGAAAGTGGTTCTAAAGATGAAACTGTATTTCTGGCCCGTCACCTCCCCCTCCCTCTTTGGAATCCAGCCGTGGAAGCTAAGAAACGCATTGCTGAAACTAGAATATCCAGTTGCTCTGTATCCTCACAGGTTTCAGGATTCCTCACACATCCCAGCTCTGGTTCACCCTGACTGTCAGCATCAGAGACTCGTGATTAGGATCGCTGTCATTAAATCTGCACACACCAATCTAAATCCCGTGAAGCTGATCGGGACGGACGCCTTCATAAAGCAGTCACCTACCGGATTGTAGACATGAATGGATGAGTTTCCCGGGACAGCATCTCTCTTCCTGTCACAAAGCACTTGTCCGTGATCTTCACCTCTCCGACCGTGGGGTGTCAGCGGTGTGGAGTGGAAAGACGGCGCGTCCTTCCCCCAAACATCATTATTATTGTTCCCTATGGCAGCGGCCATAAACGCAGAGAAACCTCTCCTAGAACGTGGCCGGAGAAGATCAGCTAATAAACTGCGGCGATGTTAGGAAGCAGTCTGTGGGCTCGAGCAGCTGTCAGACTCTGACTCGCCGCTGTTTTGCGCTGGTTTGTCAAATTACGCATCTGCGTGATGAGAGCGCGTGTGCAGGGCGGGGCGACCAACAACACCTCCTGTCAGACATCCAACCCACAGTGAGCAGTAAGGACAAACTAAACAAATACTCAGGAAGTGCTGATAATTACAGACTTTGAAGGGATATTTCGTCCATTTAAAGCAGGGTTCTGTGTAAGTATCTTACCTGCTGTCAGGTCCATAAGTGACACACCTAAAACAAAATCAATTCGCCCCATAAAGTAGTTCCTCCTACTCATTTACTTAGCTTACTTTTATTTGTTTTTCAACCATTTATTAAAAATGGAATTTTAAATGTTTTTAATGAGCCCCTCTCAGTTTTTTATCTCTTTTATTGTGTCATTTCAGTAGAAAACGAAACCAAATATTAGTTTATTTAATTTATTTATTTCTTCATCATCAGTGAGCTTTTTTTTAATCTCTTTATAGTTATGGTCACTGATCGTTCATCATTGCATTTATTGGATTAGTTATATCTTGTTTGCAGTGATTGGAACAGGCACCTCCAACAGTTAGGGCGTAAAATATTTCACTCCATTCTGCTGATTTTAATGCATTAACATGATCACCATGACACTAGACCTCATGAAGGAATACAGTAGCTGCAGAAGAACCTTCTGAGCAGACCTGAACAGAACTGAGGACAGAGGAGAGATAAAAAATGGGACATTTTCACCAAAAAAACTGTATTGGGATATTGTTTAACTAATTCTGTGGCTTCTGAACATGTTTAGCTTCTGTTAGTGATCAAAGATCTTGTAATTATGTGTCTGAATTTGAACACTTGGAGCTTTAAAGACATATTCCAATAATTATTACCTCAGTCAAGGGAGGAGGTAATGTTATTGGTCGCATCTGTCTGTCTGTCGGTCTGTCTGTCTGTCTGTCTGTCTGTCTGTCTGTCTGTCTGTCTGTCTGTCTGTCTGTCTGTCTGTCTGTCTGTCTGTCTGTCTGTCTGTCTGNGTCTGTCTGTCTGTCTGTCTGTCTGTCTGTCTGTCTGTCTGTCTGTCTGTCTGTCTGTCTGTCTGTCTGTCTGTCTGTGGACAAACTTTCTCAAAAACTTGTGGGCAGATTGTCATGACATTTTTACCACATGTGGATATTGGCCAAAGGAACATACCATTAAATTCTGGTGATGTTCCAGATCACGATGCGGATCCAGGATTTTTTTTTTATTTAAATTTGAGCAAATCAACCAGGCTACGCAAAGTGTCATTGCGTCAGACGCATGTCTGTAGGAAACAGGAAGTACAAGTCGCAAACTCGCAGGGACTACACATCAGGATGCCTGCTATTGGGAAAGTTGTGATTATTCTGTTATCAACAAGTATTGGTGATGTTACATGCTGTCTGGAGACGTAGAAAAAGAAATGAGATTCTCTTCAGGTTACGGGAATAACAGAAGACGCCGACAACGGGGCGAGGGTCCTGCTGCAGTCGAGCCAAAGCTGGTGCCGGTGTTACACTGGACCGGTACCAGACAGCGGGAACAGCTGATCAACCATGTGAGGTACCCCCTCCACATAAGAACTTTATTGTGTGATTGGTCAGAAGTTCGTGGGAGTGTTTGTTTGTGCTGAAAGTATTTTGCTTCAAAAAAAGGTGACTCGCTTCCAGAGCCGACTGTAGCAGGAAGCAGCAGTTTATAAAGATATGCAACCCGTTAAAAACTTATAAAAGGAGATAAAACAGATGTTTTACACGGTGGAATCTGATGAAAACTTTGGAGCTTGATCCGGGACCAGTTTGTGGATGAATAACGTCGGGTGACGAGTCTGACTTTTTTTAAAATTTGCATTGGACTCCATCGGGAAGAAATCCCATTCATACTGCCTGCTTAAATGTTCTCTACATCTATTCAGCAAATGTGTTTCCATCTCTCCTTTTGCACATTATCTCTATTGCAGGATGGGGAAATTGGCCTTGATGGAGGTTTGCACTCTCCAAGTGCTTCTAGTTTATTTCTTTACTTATATTTTCTAGAATTGTTTCACAGAACTTTCGCCCATTTAACTTTGTTAATCTGGAATATTGCAAAACTATTAGACTTCAAATCAAATTAGAAATCCAATCCAGAAAGCTGTCTGTTTTATTTTACACATCTTATTTTATAAAAAAACTATTATGAGACCAGACTGTTTGACACAACCTGATGGAAGAGGGGCAGAAAAAAGGTGACAACTTTGTGCTAAATAAAAGCCATTTAAATAAATATTAAGCAACATATAGCCTTTCACAGAAAATGTAATGTTAATTGTAACATTCGTATAGTTATTGATTCAAGAAATGAATGTCGGCCCCATTAATGTTTATGCTCAGGAGCTGCTGCTGACTGTGGTAGATAGCTCAGAATTAAAGTCTGTTTCTCTAAATTAAAGCTGTTTAAAGAGCCATGTACAATAAGTGGAATGATATTTACTGCCCGAGCAGTAAATATTATTTCACATACTAACATAACAAGTGCACAGTCTTTGTGCAGAAAATTAATCATTCAATGTCCATCTATAAGTTTCAGAGTCAAGATAGTTTAAAATGGTTCAAATACTGACCTTTATCTAACAAAAAAGTATAAATCAACAGTTTTTACAGATTCTTAGCTAAAACTTGTTGTGGTAGTAACTGAGATCCATCCAACACATATCCAGCACACTAAAACTCGCACAATATGTGTTTGTWTTCATGGAAGCAGGTGATTAAATTTCTTTGAGGAACATTCCTCACTTTATAACTTTATAAATGAGAACCCTATTTCTAAATGTCCTGAAGAGCACTTTTAATGACAAAGGCTGCTTATGAGTCAGAGCTTCAGTCATTATTTTTCAGGGTCATTTTGGGTAAACTCTGTTTAATGTTTTTACACATTGATTTAGGTTAATAAACAGAATTTTCAGTCCTTATACAGGCAAGCTAAAATTGTTGAGTTCCAGGTTCAAACTATGTTCTCAACATTTCTTTCCTGCATTTATTTAGTGAATGCTACAAAGCTTTAGATCCTGGTGTGGCATGTTAAAAACGCTGCTGCGCTGCGGTGCAGCTGTCTGTCAGGACTACGTGCTTCATGCCAACATTCCTGCAGCAGTGATGCTCAGCATTAAATACACTGTGTTTCATTTTTACATTCAGCAGGTCTGATCTGTGCCTGCAGTCATTTTTAACTTTCGATTCAAATAAAGGTCACACGAGCACACGTACTGCTTTCACCTTCACATGTTTTATCTCTCCAATCTTTCTGAAAAYGAAAATAAAAATAATAACATGGTGTTTTTTGTATTTGTTTCCAGCTTAAAATGACAGCGACACATGCTTCATATATTTCAATATGCCAAAACAGATGCATGAAATATCCGCTGCACATTGTGTTCAGCTACTGTATGCATCAGGACAGAGACAGGTTGTTTATGTATGAAAACTTGGTGAGTGTACGTTTAATTTTTCATGTGACATTTATACTGCCACTCCCATCCACTTGCTCCTGGAGGCACTTCTTGTCCTCTTTTTGAAATCCTGTAACTACACCCWTTACAAGCCTGACTGAACACGTTCTGAGGACGAGTTACACTGGAGTTAAATAAGGTCACACACAGGAGCACGTCATAAAAAGAGAAACAATATTTACAGTTTAGAAAACATTTAATTTTAGACACTGCAAAGAGTAAATGTACTCACACCCTTTTATTTATGTTAATATGGTAAGCAAGATGTTTCTAATATTGTTTTTTCCTCTTTTGTTTTGCACAAATTTAAGCTCATATGACAAAAGGCAAGTCAAAGGGGTGTCCTGATATTAGTTATTTCTCAAATCCAGTACAATCACAGTTTTGATTTTCACCAACACCAAGTAGATACAGAGTACTTACTGAGTTGGATGATTTGAAAACACTTTTTTGAATGTAGAACAAGGTGTCCGTCCATCCTTATTTGCCTACAGCCCCTCTGACTGTTTACAATCAAACATTTAGCATGATACAGTACAGTATATACTGCTGGAAAATTCAAAAAGAAATGAAAATAAGATTGTTTTCATCTTATATACATTTCATGGAAACATGGAACTGATAAACCTTTCACTTGAGATGTAAATTGTAACCAGTTCTATTGTGAGTTATTGGTATTTCTCTTGAGTATCAGGGAATTTTGTATAATATGGATACTTGTAAAAATCAGTACCAGTATACGTGTGTATCCGTTGCAATCAGGAGTATTGTAGAAAATATCCAGAGTAATTAAATACAATTTAATCTTATGCAAATAATGCCTCTAATCCCAAAGCCACTGCAGAAAAAGTTAAATGTAGCAGTCTTTGAGGGATTCCATATCACCTGTCGTGTTGTCAGAGTTATAAACAGAGATCTGATTTGATGTGTGACTCTTAGTTTTCACTAGATTAAAACTTAATTTAATGTCTGTAAAAAAACTGAGTTGAAAAAAATGTGTTTGACGTCTAGTCAACTCGAAATTGAGTTGATTCAAAAAGATAATCAGTTGTAGATRTACATTCACTAATGATATTRYGAGAGTTTTATTAAAATCTGTCCATTGGTTTATGAGATATTTTGCTAATAGACAAGCATGATCTCCCATTTGATATTGCAGTGGGTAATAATAAACTAAGCACTACAATCTTGAAAAGCTGATCTTTCACTGCTACAATCTGTTCACATAAATCCATCCCCCACACCCCAAT